CCAAGGCTGGGATTCGAGGTTTTGGGGGTTTCGGGGGTTAGGGGGTTAGGGGGGTTTAGGGGTTTAGGGGGTTTAGGGGGTTTAGGGGGTTTAGGGGGGTTTCGGAGGTTTAGGGGGGTTAGGGGGTTAGGGGGGGTTTAGGGGTTTATAGTTTTTTTGTGCTTAGGGGTTTAGTTGTCTGTAGGGGTTTGGGGGTTTAGGAATGTTGGTTAGTCGCTCGCCTTGACAACCGCCCACCCACACGCACACAGGCAGACACGTGCACGCGCACGCGCGCTGGCACGCGCTCACACAGACACAAAGCAAAGCAAAACCAAAACCAAAACAGAGAGAGCATAAAGCACACTAGCCAAGCACCGGCAAACGCGGGCAGACCGGCAGAGACAGCCTAATCAACCCTAAACCCTTAAATCAAAACCCGAATCTGATATTTTCGCCTCACTATCACTCGTTATGTCGGACCCGGCGCTCCTTTTTGCAGGCCACTGAACAACAGGACTTTGCCCTGCACAAGGTGAGAACGAGGGCCAAGAGGTTTAGGTTTTAAGGGCTACAGGCTTGCATTGTTTTAGGACTTATAGGTTTTAGGGCTTAGGGCTTAGGGTTTATAGGATTCGACAGTCATTCTCAAAGCAAGATCGTCACAGTAAGCCCATCTCGTTGGGGGCTTCGTGTCGTCTCAACAGCTCCTAGACCCTAAGCCCCAAACCCTAAACCCTAAACCCTAAACCCCAAACCCTAAACCCCAAACCCTAAACGCTAAATCCAGGAGCATCCCCCCAGGGCCTTGGAACAGGGTTCAGGGTTTCGATATGGGTTCTGGTGCTTGTAGGGCTTAGGGTTCAGGGTCTAGGGTTTAGGGTTTAGGGCTTAGGGCTTAGGGTTTAGGGTTCAGTGCAAGAATGGGGGATTTAGGGTTTAGGGCTGAAGCAGTTGAGCCGGATCAGCGATCGGTACATTCGAGCTTAGAGTTTCTCGCCGTGTTGTCGTGCGCATACGTCTACTTGTGTATACTGACAGGGTTGATATTCTCAAGAATTCAGGTGCATTCCCACTTTTTTGTGATGGTACGAAGGTTACTCCAGGCGAGATGAAGCAGTAAGCCTCAAGCCCAAAAAGCAGGAAACCCGAAACCCGAAACTATAAACCCTGAACTCTAAACCCGAAGCCCGAGACTCTAAACCCGAAACCCCAAATCCTAAACCCGAAACCCTAAAGCCGAAGTCCTAAACCCTAAGCCCAAGACCCTAAACCCTAAACCCTAAACCCTAAACCCTAAACCCTAAACCCTAAACCCTAAACCCTAAACCCTAAACCCCCTAAACCCTAAACCTCCAATCCGGAGCAGGAACTGTCACCATGTTCGGAGCTTTGGATGGCTTCAGCATGGAGCTCCCCGGCTGCAAGCTCCTTACTCCACCATCGGAGGATCTCAAGGGTTCAGGGTTTAGGGTTTAGGGTTTAAGGTTTAGGGTTTAGGGTTTAGGGTTTAGGGTCGAGTTCGGTGGCCTATTCAGTTAGAATGGGTGTGTTGGGTAGTATATAGGGAGTTCAGGAGGAGAGTATGGGCGATTGCTTTGGCTCCCCTTTTTAGGTACTTTGCTTTGCTTTGGGTGTTCAACATTCTTGCAAGTTCGTAGCGGGTAGGGGAGGTGGTGGCGGTGGGCGTACGGGTCGGGGGTGGGGGGGTTGGCGGGTGGGGGGGGGCGGGGGGATCGTGTGCGTACAATGCTGTCTTAAAGCAGGTATTCTGTGGTGCTGTTGTTGTTTGTGCTGTTGCTTTTCCTTTCAAGGCAACTACCTTATTGCATGTTGTAGGCCACTGAAGCACACCCACACAGTATGTTCTAAGTCTGGAAGTCAGCGCAGTGACGGCCCGTTCTCCTCCCACGAAGTCTCAGCCAGTTTCCGGGACCACGACGTGATGAAGATCTTCGTGCGAAGGCGAGCTGCCCCAAACCCTAAACCCTAAACCCAAAACGGGTGTTGATCCATTTCGGATGTTGAGGGTTGACGGTTGCAGCAGGTTCGGGGTTTGGGGATTTGAGGTATCAAGAAAAACAGCCCGTTGTTTTTAGTCTTCGGGTTGACTTGGGCTTTCCTTGTCCCTAAGCTCTCTTGCATGAGATGTGTCTTCCTGGGTGAGTGCCACATCTGGGGCTAGCTCGGAGATGAGACCGGAAGCCTACGCCACTAAATCCGGCTACACATGCAGCCTGGAGTAAAATCGGAGAGTCCTTGGGCTATTGAGGGTTTGGTGTTGAGGGTGTAGTTTAGGGTTTAGGGCATAGGGGCCATTAAGGGCAATACAAAACCCTAAGCCCGAAAGTGCAACCAGCCACCTCTTCTCAATCCGCTCCCGCTCTGATGCACCTGCTCAGAAACGGTACCTCAGATGCTTTGCGGGAAGTTTTGCCGGAGACTCAGGGTAGCCCACCATGTAATCTGTATGAGGCCTACAATCCCTAGGCCATTAGGAGAAATCCTAAACCCTACCAGGTCTGAAAGGCCTCTGCAACTATCAGGGTTTCAGTGAGATGCTGCTCGTGTCTCTGACTTCTCATGGAAACACCTTCAGGATACTTCTGCTAGATTCCCAGATTTAAGGGATCGCCCTGTCTACTGGGAAAAAGCTCCTCTCAGCTGTCAGCTACGGCAGGTGCCTCAGTAGCCAACTACCAACATGGGCCTCTTCATACTTCCTTTGCATGTACTTCCGATGCAAACTACCCCGCAATACCCCGTCCAATTAGGCATTCCCCTGTCTTCACTGAAACTCTCAACCCCGAAGCCCTGAACTCTGGCCCTACTCTCCCTAGATGACCCTAGATAGCCCTGAGCCCTAAACCCTAAACCCTAAACCCCCTAAACCCCTAAACCCCTAAACCCCTAAACCCCTAAACCCCTAAACCCCTAAACCCCTAAACCCCTAAACCCCTAAACCCCTAAACCCCTAACCCCTAAACCCGTAAACCCCTAAACCCTAAACCCTAAACCCCTAAACCCTAAACCCTAAACCCCAAACCCTAAACCCTAAACCCCCTAAACCCCTAAACCCCTAAACCCCCTAAACCCCTAGACCCCAAGCATCCCCTCAGCTGGCCCTTCGCGCACATCATGGGCACATCGTATCCCTCAGCATGATCCACTCCTTGAACTTGGGAAACGCCTGGGGTCTATTTATAGTGGGGTTTAGGGTTTAGGGTTTAGGGTTTAGGGCTTGGGGTTTAGGATTTTAGTGCTTGGGGTGTAGGACCCTCATGGAATGGGTACCCCAAAGCCATACGCAGTATGGTTGCTTGAAGAAGAAAGCCACCCAACAATGGACACTTTTGAATGCTCGCTTATAGCAGCTGTCTATTGTGCTCAACATAGACATTCCACTAAATAGAGTCCCCTTTGGGGTGCTTGCTATAAGGCGGACCCTCGTATGTAGGGTACCCAAAAAGGACCACAATATAGGGAACTGCCAATCTACAGGGATTACTATCTTTAAATGATGGGGGGGGGGGGGTTCCCTTGTACAAACAGTCTCGAATAGGGGCACTATGATCCCCATCACTCTAATTGCTTAAGAACCCACCAAAAGCTAAGAAATGGAAATCCACATATTGCCCTTACAAGGGGGATTTGGTATTGATTTGTTTTTTTTTGGGGGGGGGTTCTTAAGCAATTAGTAGATTAAGGACTGGTTTCAAAAGGGGAGCATCCCGAGTAAGGCCCCTTCTTCAGCTAATCTACTAAACCCTAAACCCTAAACCCTAAACCCTAAACCCTAAACCCTAAACCCTAAACCCTAAACCCTAAACCCTAAACCCCCCGCCCTTTCTCAGCCACCGTGAGCTGAGTTTACCGCCCAATTCGAAGATTTCGGATCTCCTGGAGAAGTGCACGAAGGCCCAGGGTGCAGCATAGCTGGTGTTTAGGGTTTAGGGTTTAGGGTTCAGGGTTCAGGGTTTAGGGTTTGGGGTTTAGGGTTTAGGGTTTAGTGTCGGATGTGTTTTTGGGGTCGTTATGAGCGACTTGCCACCGGTTTCCTGGGTCTCGGGTGAAAACCACTTCTGTCATCGTGCATGTCCTTCACAGCCCCACTAAGCCAGCGTGCGCTTAGTAATCTCAAACCACTGCTCCCGAAACCCCAAACCTTATCCTCTCATTGAGTTCCCTTATAAAGTAACCAACCAAAAACTGTTTAGCACAAAGAGGTCAGGTTGATTCCATGGGGTGCTGTTTAGATGTACATGTAACTTTTGGGTTTGGGCCTGGGATAGACATCGACCTCATCGTGGACGAGCAGGAATAGATGTTGGACTTCATGTCCGGTCGCAGCTGTGAGCTGCTCAAGAAGGGCCCTTCTTAGACTTGTAGCAGCCGACCTTGTACAGTTTTCGCCCCCGTGGATAGTGTTCCTGTACGTCGTGGACTTGATTGGCCAACTCGCATCCGGAGGAAAGAGGAGCCAAAAGGGTCGGGCGTTGACGAGGAATAGATCCTTTTCCCTAACCTCGGGATAGTTATCTGTTCTCTTTACAACTCATAGCCGGAGGCCGGAGGATACTGAGTGCAGGTGGCTGTTCAGGTGAATATCGGGATAGGTGTACAACACGCAGCCGGACGGCTAGTGGATACATCTAGAGCGATAGGTTACCACCCCCTGGAGATAGCAACTCTGGGGATCCTTCCGACAGTTAACGTCGGGAGTGGCTCGGAACGATTGGCTAGCTACCTTGAGTTCCCCGTTGACAGGGATACTGTTACTTCTGGTGCAACATTACAACCTACAACTGTAAATATACAACTTCTTTCTCCTCGTGTGGCCTGAGCTAGTTACTGGAGCGGGTTGCGCAAGTTTTCATTGGTTTGGACACTTCGCACAGGTTAAGAGCCTTGTTGCTTGGCCTGGACGAGCTGTTCGAGAAGTTTTTCTTGGTATAGCGAAGAGGTACCACTTGCATAGCGAAGTTTTCCGCATTTGTCATTTGTGTTCATTGACTGCAGCAATGTCCACACGTGATAGCATTGAGAGCAGTGAGTCTAGTGATAGCGATGTGTTGGGAGCAGGAAATAGATTCCTCGAGGACCAGGTCACTGCGGCTCATCAAGGTGAGACCGCCACAGATAGTCATGTGCGAAGTATAGCCGACGCCGGGAACGTGGACTTCATCGACGACGGACGGAATAGTGGAAGGACAGGACTGGAGATGGATAGCAGTGCTGATAGAGATCGCTTCGGCCTCAGTTTCTCAGGACCGCTTACTGTGGACGTTAGGTCGAGCGCTGTGGATAGTACGTTAGTGCCAGGACCACCACCAGGACTGACGGATAGAAACCTGGAGATCGTGGCGACGATGGATAGTGTGGGGAGGTCGGGAGGGCTGGGCCTTGCCGGGATAGTAGACACGTCAGGCACTCAGGGGAGGGACGCAGGCGAAGAATTACGGGAGCTGCTCGCAGTCCCGTCAGTCGCAGATAGAGGGGATGTCATGACGCAGCTCAGCATGCTTGCCAGCAATCCTGTAGTGTTTGATCCAGTCATGGGAGCTACCGATTTGAATGAGTATAGGGCCGGAAGAGGTGGGATAGAGACAGGAAATGCTAGGACTCCGACGCTTGCTATCGAGGATCTGGCTGGATTAGGTGGAAGAATGGAAGAGGGGGCGTTCGCCAATCCCTCCGAGACTGTGCTCCACGGGACGGATCAAGAGACGACGGGAGATACCAAGGGAACCACCGGATCCAGGATAGAAATCGCAATAGAGGATAGAGTGGATAGCCTTGCAGTGTCATCATCGTCAGATCACGATAGGACGGTCAGGAGAAATGATGATGGGATAGATGCAATGATGAATAGTGGTGAGCTCGGTGCTGAAGGCGATCGCATGAGAAGTGCGGATAGCGGACACTGGATGGGCAGAAGGAATGGAGACGACATCGTTCCCGGAGTGTATTCGAATAGTGCGGCCATGATTGGGAATGTCGGTATCGATCCTACAGATCTGGAGTTGATAGCCAAGGGATCTTCAGCGGTAGCACAGAACATGATCGGTGAGAGCGATGATAGAGCGCTGTCTGTGTTTTCGTCAACAGGGCTGTCGGAGGCACCGCCAGGCGGGAATGTTGAAGCGTTGAAAGATGTGGGGATGGGTCAAACTTCGACGATCGGAATAGAGTGGGGATCCCATGGGATCCGGAGTGCTCTCGAAGAAACGGGGGTCATCACAGATGCAGACTTTGCAAAGTTCTTCACAGATCAGGGACCAGGAGAGCCTGGATCAACGCCCATGACGATGCAATCGGATTCGCAGGAACGGTGGAACGCTGGGATATATGGTGCCGAGATCGCAGGGGTAGAGAAAGACAGGTCACGAAAGATGTCGATGGGGTCGGATAGTGGACACTCAGGTGGTCGATCTACATCATTGAAGAGGGATAGCCCGGGTGGATCGGAAAATGGAGTTGGTACCACCAGCAAGATAGGCAAGGTGGATGAGGGATTGCGTAAGCAACGAGCGGAGCAGGCCGTTAAGGAGATGAACCAGATAGCCGAGAGCGTCCCCGCAGCCAAGAAGTCGAAATCGACAGAAATTGGGGGACCGATCCATCAGGCAGGAATGATCACCCCGGATCAGGGTAGCGAGGGATGGGGCAATCGATCCCCGGCTCCACGATCTCCTGGGATAGGTGGGCAGTACGAACATTTCGGGATCAATACTCCTCCCGAGGGACGAGGCAGGAACGATGAGATGAGGGCAACATCATCCCCACCTAGGCGGGCAAAGATGAGAGCTCCTGCTGATCCGGACAAGTCGTCGTTGGGAGAGATAGATGGCAGGATAGATGACTTACAGACGGTGGTTGTGGACACGCAGACCGACGTAGCCAAGCTTAAGGTGGCAAGCGAATGTGCAAGTGCAATTGCTAATAGCTCAGCGGAAAAGGCGGACGTCGTGAGCAAGAGATTGGTGGAATGCGAGGAGGAGGTGAAGCACTGGAAAGGATGGATAGAGTCGCAGCAGATAGATACCAAGACAACGCTGTCGCAGGAGTTGAAAGAGATGAGTCGGATCATGGACGGGAGCATCAGCGAGGATAGAATGGACGATGCAATGGCACCGCAACTGACCGAGGGAGCCATGCAGCTCGCACGGAGAATGAGACGGCAGGTTGAGAACGTGAAGGTGCTCAAGACCTCTGTTACGACTAGATTGAAGGGAGTGGAGGAAAGATTGTCCACGGCAGAGCATTCAGCTGACGTGGCCAAACAGAGTACCGGGACGAAGATCACCACGTTAGAGACAGGATTGAACGAGGTGAGACGTGGCATAGGTGTAGTCTTCTCGAGCATGCAAGTGCGACACGAGAATGGAACATGGAAGAACGAGAGACTGGATAAAGTAGAGACAGTTTTGAATAGACAATGGGACCAGATCAAGATAGCGGGCGAGGAACTAAGGAAGCTGAAGTCCAAGGGGAGCCAGAAAGCCGGAGCAGATACGGCATCGTCGTCCCATTGCAACAGCCAAGGAAAAGGTCCTGGATGCGGATGCAGAGAACCTGGCGAGGGTCACGGCACGTGCATAGATGGGGCAGTGCGGGGCGAAACCAAGAAGCTGAGTGTGGTTCTGGCGCAGAAGGAACACATAATGACCGTCGCGAGAGAGGTGATAAAGAACCGCAAAAGCGTGGCTGAGATTGTGGCGAACATGACAAAGGTTCACAAGACTTGCGAGAATGTCGCGGCAAGGACCGATCGGATGGATGAGAAGAGAAACGGAGAACAGGCCTGGGTGAAGGATACCGTGCGAAAGATGGAAAAGACAATGGAGTCAATGTCGAGCCGTATGATAGATGAGCAGAAGAGAGTCACGGGCGAATTTATCCTTGTCAATGCTCGAATTGATGAGAGCGCACGGAACGAAGGGGTAGGCAAGATGCGAGGAAACAGCGCCGAGATAGGAAAGCCACCGACCATGTCACGCGGACGAGATAGTCACGGTGGGAGTGGGGGAGCCGACGGAAGAGCCAGGAGCGACAACGCCCGAGGAATAGAGGCTTCGAGGCCGGAGTCGGCAGGTCCTGTGGTAGATCGAAGGATTGAGAATAGATGCATTGTGTTAGAACAGCAGGTGACCAAGATCACTAGTCAATTGCAGGGGTTGACCACTGTGAACGAGCGGATCGTGAGGGAGAACGCTAGCCTGCTCAGTGAGATAGACAGCATGAAGGGGGAGAACAAAGGAGTGACAGAGTCGGTAGCGCGGATGATTCGGGATAATAGAGATGAGGTATCTAAAATGAGAGCGGATCTCGATCTTCGTAGTAGAGAAATGCTTGAACTCAAAGAGAAGAACGAGCAGTTGGAGGCAACGGTACGAGAGTATGAACGGAGACTGGAGCAGGTGAAACGAAACGATAGCATTAAAGCAGAGCTGGATAGCATGTGGAATAGAATCGGTGAAATCGCCAAGCAGAGCTCCGAGTACGCTATGCCGGCGCCGGCTGCGGGAGGTGCTTCGAACGCTGGCTCCGCAAGACCAAGTGCCGGTGCCACGCCTGCGCCAAGTTCGTTTGGGGATAGAAGAGAGCACGGAAGAAAGGATAGACAGGGAGATGGAGGTCTGTTGGGGGAAGAGACTAGGTTTAGAAGGTGCCCTGTGTGTGTTAGACAAGCAGAAATGATGATTGCATGCCATGGCTGCGGAAGAGAAGTGTGTGGTAATTGCTATGAGTACCATGATGACTTGTGCATGCTGTGCTCCACTGATAGAAGGGGATGCGATGCCGGAGGGTATGCAGGGACAGGACTTCCGAGGCCGCAGAGTGGACGCGATCATGAGGGGGACGATGCCAGATTCAGGAATCCGGTAGGAGGAGGATACAGCAAGTTTAAGGACACCAGAGGGATGGAGAAATGCAACGAGATATCGATAGCGAAGGAGCCATCATCCGGGGAAGTAGGACTGTGGCTGGGCGATGTGGCACATACCGCGAAGGCTGCGTATCTGTATGATGGGGACTATGCATATACGCAGGTACTGAAGGTACGCGAAAGGAGCGAAGCGATGATAGACATGGAACTCAAGTACCCTGCGCTAGAGAACCAGCTGTTTAGCGGATTGAAGAGAGCAATAAAGTCAGAGTCATTGTCGGCGAAGGTGAAGATGGAGATGTACAAGACTCAGCAAGTGGGAGATGGAAAACCGATGACGGCCATGAGATTGCTCACGCTGATAGTAAAGCATGTTGAGATCCCGATAGCTAAAGAGAGTCAGGTGCTGTACGATGGTCTGAGCAGCACGAAGGTTATGCATTTCCCGGGGAAGCCCGAAGAGGAGGCACTGGAGGAGTTCATGACTAGATGGGATCTGGCGCACACGAACCTTGTAGGGCTGAAAGGCAATACCTGGAGCGAGCAACAGCTGGGATGGATGTTGCATTCGAAGGTGCAGAGAGTTCAGGTGCTGAACCACGATATTGAGGCATGGAGATTGCTTCCGGACGAGGCCAAGACGCACACCTGGTTGCGAAAGAGAATCAAGGATAGACTAGAGATGTGGAGAGCGGACAAGAACATAGACGAGGCCTCAATGCGGGTGAGCCGACAGGCGTTCACGACTGGATATGCTGCGATGCCGGCTCAGCAGGGATCCTATAGAGCACCGGTGAATAGAAGAAGCGCGTACGCTGATGATAGACCGAGGAGTTCATCGCCCGCAGGGGGAAATAACTACGGAAGAGGGATATCTGTGGGAAGAGGCAGGGACGGACTTTCGCAGGCGGGGAGGGCCGATGACCCGAAGAATAGATATGGATCCAAGTCGCCGTTTGGAAAGAGAGGGGTCTGCTACCCCTATACGCGTGGAACGTGCCCGATGACTGCGGCGGACTGCAAGCATTCGCACGATATCTATCTGTATAGTCAGGCGGAAGAGGTCCTCAAGAAGGCGGGATACTGCTTTGAGCATTTTCGGTATGGCAGCTGTAGAAATGACAAGTGTAAAATGCTCCATGAGGCTATCCCGAATAGCATTAGGGAGGCATTTGAGACAGTAGAGATAGAACAGAAGGAGACGAGGCCATCGAGTCCACATGCTGATGGTGAAGGGCCGAGTTTTCGCTAGGGGCGGGCCGAAACCCACAGGCCAGCGATGATAGTCAGGTATATGCGGCCATGCCTGTGGTACGACAAGGGGATGATAGCGCCGAAGGCACGCTTAGGGGAATACTGGTGACAACGACAGGCAGGGAGCGGGTGAGGAAGGGCAATAGGCGAGTCAAGGGGTTGGGCTCCGAAGAGACGGGGATAGCAGGACTGGATATATGCTATTGGAAAGGACACACAGCTGACAAGATGGTACGAAAGTGCAAAAACGTACACAAAAAGGGGTATGTACATGATGTGAAACGATATCCCGTGATTGAGGAGGCAAAGGCAAGGCTACGAGGAATATCCCTAGCCGAAGAGGTCGTGCTGGACATACTTGCCGGAGAGCAAGGCGAGGAAGGTAAGGATGCTTCAAGACTGGCTGATAGGATAGTGGAGGAATGCAGGAGAATAGGTATAGTCGACAAGAGATTCCGCGTGGATAGTCGAGAGGATAGTCAACCGGCGGCGTCTGCACAGCATTGTTTGCCATCGGTAATGAGACGATGGATGATAGACTCGGGGTGCGCTATGGATCTGATAGCAGAAGCAGACCTCACCCAGGATGAAAAAGATATGGCTATTGAGGCGAAGAAAGTGCGGTTCAACACCGCCAACGGCAACACCACGTCAAAGCAAGAAATATGCATGGATATTCAAGGGATGCCTGAGACGATGAGGATTAGAATGCTCGAGAGTACTCCCGCTGTTCTATCGATGGGGAGGAGATGTATGAAAATGGGATATTCGTTCCATTGGCTGGCGGGCGCGAACCCCGTGTTCGTCAAGCCTGATTCGAGCTTGATAGTACTAAAAGTCATCGGGGATATCCCATACATGGTGGATAGAATGTCAACGGTTGTTAGTGAAAGTGAGCGGAGTGACTATCACATCTATCCTGCTATGCCAGCGCCTCTTGCGATTGAATTGCCCGTGCGAGGAAATTCCAGTCCGAGGAGGATCGGAGAGAAACAGGATGAATGTAGTCCCAAAAGCGTGGACTCGGACACGGATAGAGACATCGAGGAGGAACCGATAGGAAAGGCCGCCAACGACGACGGGAGGCTACTAGACAAGTGGATGTTAACGGGTAATAAGGCAGTGTGTTTCCACAACAAACCAAGAACGAAGGCTTGCGATCCATGGTTTGAAACACTGAGATTCCCAGAGATACATGCACTTGTGCCGCGATTCGCCGAGAGATGTAGATCCAAACGTGTGTACAAAGATGGCAAAACCGTGGCGGAATGGATAGACTGGGTGGATAAGTACAGTGAGGGAGAGAATAGAGAAGCGGAGGAGGAATTGTGGACCGGCAAAACCATAAGATAGAAGGACTAACATATGAAGGAGCGGATGCCGGGGAAGCGGCACAGAGCGATAGCGTGAAGGTGAGAAAGCACATTTTGGACAGGATAGCCACGGATGAAACCACGGGGTTAAATGACCTGCTGATGATGCTGGACAAGACTATTGGTACCAGCGGCGAGGCCGAAACGCTAGTCCGGATAGCCAACTATCTGTGGCCGTGTGCTCCTCAAGAAATCTTGGACGGTGGGATGGCTCAGAAACCTCTAGGGGACACGAGGCCAGAAATCTTGAAAATCAAACATGCAATTGAAGGTAGCAAACGCGTCATAGTGCACATCTGTTGCGGGAAATCAAGGGGGAAGTTTGATGACATAGCAACTGAGTTAGGGATGAGTGTGATAGACATTGACATGGAGGAGAACGTACTGCGCCCTGACACATGGTGGTGGCTAGTAAAGTTGGCCACGACCGACCTGGTGTTCTGCTGGTTAGCCGGACCGCCCTGCAGAACGAGGTCCGTGATGAGATACAAGAGGCCTGGGCCGATCCCGCTGAGGTCGAGGAATGGGCCGGAGAGATGGGGATATTCGATAATCAGTTGGGCACAAAAGCAGGAATGCCGTGACGACGACATCATCATCATCTTGCGCATTTGCATGCTCATTTTGATAGGAAAGGCACGCCACAAGTCATCGAGGACCTCAGCAATGTGCCTAATCGAACAGCCGCAGGACCCCGAGACGTATTGGGACGAGACACCAGAAGGAGGATACGCATCGTTATGGGCGACGGAAGAATGGGATAGAACGAGCGCCATCCTGGGAACTAGTCTGTTCAGCTTTGATCAGGGACCGATGGGACACTCAAGGAGAAAGCCGACGACGATAGCAACTGATACCGAGCTGATAGGATGGGCGGTCAATCTTAGAGGACCAGGGACCGGAGCGACGGACGATGGCGATGATAGAAGCAAGGGCGAGATGAGCGAGTCACAAAACTGGTCGGAGTGGGCACCGGGATTAGTGCGAGCCATCAAGGAGACTATGCGTAAGCACCACCGAATTTCATCAGTGGTCGAAAAGGGGATAGACGAGAGGAATAGGGAGACAACGACAGAACAAGACGATGGTGATGGTCGACTGAGAACGACGTTCTACTGCGCCGCGTGTAAGGCCGATTCATCCGGGGTATGCGGTTTTTGTGAAAGAGCTTTGAGTCCTGAGCAGATTGAGGCGGGGCAAAGCGCACGCAATATGACGGATGCGGAGTTTCAGCTCATCCACGGAATGAAGAAGAGTCCGGATGACGACCTAAGGATCGCGGAGCAAGTCGTCGCTGTACCCGGCGAGGAGGAAAGCGCCGAAAACGGAGGCGAATTGGATGACGATATAGATTTGCCAGGAATAGCCGATGAAGAACAGGCTAGAAGAGGAGTGGGAGAGCCTCAGAAGGATGATAGCGCCGGTGACATGGGAGAAGTGGAACAAGCAAAGGCAGAGGACGGACCTGCGGATCAGGTTCGAGTTGCGGATAGAATTGGCGAAGGGATAGGGTCGAGCAAAACTGTGAGCATCCGGAGAGCAAGATACTCACCGGAGTATGCAAAGTCGACGGAACATTTGCTCACGCATCTCCCAAAGAACATGCACTGCGTTGCTTGTCGACAAGGCAAAGCAATAAACGTCCCCTTCAACAGGGGCGAAGGCATCACAGACAAGGGCGCCGAGAAGTTCGGGGAGAGGGTCACTGCTGACACGATAGTTCTTCGCAGCAACAAAGACAAGGGAATCCGCGGAGAAAACAATGCCATCGTGATGTTCGACTTCAAGACACAGTGGATACACTGCACGCCCGTAAAGTCCAGGGGAACGGATGAGTTTGTGCGAGCTATCAATGAGTTCCGAGGCCCAGATATGGTAGTGCATCTGTACGCAGACGGAGCCGGTGAATTCTCAAAAGCCTGCGACGTCATAGGAACTTGCAGGGCGACTTCTACACCCGGATTACCCCGAACGAATAGCATAGCGGAGCTCAAGGTCAAAGAAGTAATCTACGGTGGCAGAGTATTGCTGAGACAAGCAGGACTAGAACCGAAGTGGTGGCCGTACGCTGTGCAGACGTTCTGCTTCCATAGGAACGTACAACAAGTGGACGGGGTAAGCCCGTACGGGAAAAGACATGGCAACGAGCAAGACAAAGTGAAACTGATTCCTTTCGGGGCACTTGTTAACTACCTCCCCATTGCCGAAAAGCCTAGAAAAGCTGGCAAAGAGGACGCGGCCCTGCTCGAACGGGGGGATCCTGAAAATGACGCTCTTGAGATTCTCGGAGCTGATGAAGATGTTTCGAGCATGGCCTTGCCCTCTGAAACGAAGGAAACTAAAGAACAACGCTCGCAAAGGGAGGAAGAGCTGAGAGAGATCGATAGACGTGCGCTCGACATGGTCATGACGCAGGACTTTGATGTGCAGCATGCAAAGGACATCATCCTGAAGTTCACTTCGATAGAAAAAGGAATAGCGAAGAATTCGCGGAGCATGGCCACCGGTAGAGGGTTCATAGTCCTGGGGCTGTATGCGTACGGAGGAAAGATTGGCGTTACGAATAGTGCCAAAGAATATCCGGGGATAGCCATGGTGTGCTGCGAGCTGATAGCAAAATGCTTCCCAGCAGCTACTTTTACAACGGTGATTGTGTCTGTCGGAACCAGGATGGGGCCTCACAAGGACAAGTTTAACGAGAGCCAGACATACAACTTTGTTGTACCGGTAAGCGAGAGGGCGGGCGAAGCTATGATCTGGACAGAAGAGGAACAGTGTGCGAGTGGGGGTGGCAAGGCCGCCGGGATAGAGAAAGAGGTGCTTCCGGGAAAATGGATATGGGGAAGGACTCGGAAGGTGGATAGTGGGCTAAAGTTCAATCCAAGAGTTTGGCATGCTACCGAAGATGCCTTGGCGCCGGAGGATAGAGTGATAGCGGTGGGATATACCCTGGCAGCGGGTAAAAAGGCATCTGTGGACGACAAGTGGAAGTTGATGAGGCTGGGCTTCAGATTGGATGAGCACTTTGCGACATTAGCGGATGGCTTATGCCAGGCAGCGTGTGCAGACAATGGTGGGGATGGGGAAGAATATGTAGATCACGACGCCGAGGAAGAGCAAGCGTATGCCATGGCATCCAAGGCGAAGTTCGACACTCCGACATCACCCGGATTGTTCCTAGGTTACGCGCTCCAACCAGGGGGTGTTCCGAGCGGAGACTATATAGTGGTTGAGCTGGCGCACCTGTATCACGGATGGACGGTACCGTCGATACACCGCGTGAAGAGGATAGTACTTGACGAGGAGATGCCCAACTACTTCCCGATGCAAGCTGTGGCTGATAGGAAGTCGAGAATCATGACAGCGACTCGAGCTGATGCCCTGGCCAGATTGGAACTGGAGAGAGAGGGGCAGCAAGGAGAGGAGACGGAGGAAATCTTCGCAGAGGAGAGAAGGGTACGAGCCGATGTGATGAGACAAATTAAGTGCGACGATCAGCATCTTCAAAACGGGGATTTCTGGGAACATGATGAGATAGACCATTCGTGGACGCTTCATCACATCTTACCCCGAAAGGAGCTGTGTACCCCAGGCGAGGAGGTCAAAGGTACAGGTGGCCCCGGGG